AAAAAAATTTTAAAAAAAGAATAGAAGTCAAGGTCAAGCCTCCATTAACGAAGAGAAATAAAAAAGTAAAACAGGAAAAAAAATATGTTAGAAACAATCATAAGAAAGAAAAAACATTTGAATCCTTATCTTGGGGCTCATTTCGCCTAACATCAACTTAATCTGACCATTTCTGCTTGTCTCAGACATATACTAGTTATTGCAAATAAGGGAAACCATGGGACCTATGTTTCTTTGTGCCTGGCTTACTTCACTTCATATAATTTTTTCCAAGTCTTTCCATTTCCTAACAAATGGGGCAATGTCATTCTTTCTGATGGAGGCATAGAATTCCATTGTATATATATACCACATTTTCTTGATCCATTCATCTACTGAGGGGCATATGGGTTGGTTCCATATCTTAGCTATGGTAAATAATGCTTCAATAAACATAGTTGTGCTGGTAGCTTTAATATGGTCTTGTTTGTGATCATTTGAGTAAATGCCCAAAAGTGGGATTGCTGGGTCATAGGGGAGCTCTATGTGGAGTCTTTTGAGAAACCTCCATACTGCTTTCCAAAGTGGTTGAACAAGTTTACACTCCTACCAACAATGCAGTAAGGTTCCCTTCTGTCCACATCCCCTCCAGCATCTGTTGTTATTAGAGTTCTTGATTATAGCCATTCTAACTGGGGTGAGGTGGAATTTCAATGTTGTTTTGATTTGCATTTCTTTTATGGCTAGAGAGGTTGAGTATTTCTTCATGTGTCTATTGGCCATCCTTCTTTCCTCTTCAGAGAAGTTTCTCTTTAAATCTTTAGCCCACTTATTTATTGGGCAGTTGTTTCTTAGAGGGGGATTTAATTTTTTGAGTTCCAGGTATATTTTAGATATGAGAGCCTTGTCCATTGTATGGCTAGTGAAGATCTTCTCCCAATCTGTGGGCTGAGAAAGCTGAGACTTTTCCTCACATTTTCTTCTCTGACAATTACTAAGCACAACAACACAAAAAAAAGCCATGCACAAATTTTATAGCATATGATAAAAAAAAAAAAAAACACTTGTGGCTTTTTGCTGGTTAATTGAAGATGAGTCTCAAGGACTTTTCTGCCCTGGTTAACTTTGAACCTCAATCTTCAGATCTCCTGATTAGCTAGGATTATCGGCATGGCCACCAGTGCTGGGCACTTGTTGGGTCTTGACACCTTCCAAGGTGGAAATCGCCTTGATGGAACTGTTTAGTGTAACTAGGTAAGTATGAAGTAAGTGTAAAGAGAAATTACTTTGACAGTAGACAAAAGCAGGTTTTACTGCTCTTTCTGTGTCCTCCGCCTTGGAACAGTGGAGTAATAGTTTACTCTGATAAGCTCGGCCTCCTCATGTGTGAGCAGAGATGGAGAAGCCATCTGTGCCTCATGTTAGCATAAGGAGTAAATGCACCTGTCTTCAAAATCTAAAGTAATTTTGATTAGTAGGAGGCATTCTCCATGAAACATGGTCGACAGAACATGGCAGAGACTGCTGGAACTAAGATCAGATGAAGTGCCTTTTAGTTATTTATTTTTGTCGGCCATGGGACTTGAACTCTGGGCCTGGACAGTGTCCCTGAGCTCTTCAGCTCTAGGTGAGCACTCTACCACTTGAGCCACAGCACCGCTTCCAGTTTTCTGGTGGTTTATTGGAGATAAGAGTCTCACAGAATTGCCTGCCCCGTTTGGCTTTGAACTGCAATCCTCAGATACCAGCCTCCTGAGTAGCTAGGATTACAGGTCTGAGCCACCAGCACCTGGCAGATGAACTGTCTTTAAAGAAGGTACTTGGCTGAGCTGGTTACAAATTCAAATTGAGCTGGGCCTGAAGCTGCCCGTGTGCCCACAAGTGGACACTTCCACACCCTTTAACAAAGCATGCTGCCACTGGACTGGTTGTAAAAGTTGCAAGACTAGAACCTGAATTGCCCCACATCTTTTCCCCACACCTCACCCATCCCAGAGCCCCAGCTCAGTCTCACCAGTCAACACAGAATGGCTAATGGCCCATCCAGTATAATGGGGGATCCCCATAAAATGAAATTCAAAATATGAACTGAGTTATACTCATGTCATTTAATGGATACATCCTTAGCTAGAAGATACATAATCTAGTGATTTTAGTTGAAATGGAAAGACATTCTTAGTTTTGCAATCGGTTGATTGCAATTGGCTGAAGCATTGTTCAAAGATTTGCTATAAATGAGAGCAGGCCCAGGCAGGATGGGAATGCAGATGTGTGATCCTCACTGATAATCTGCATATTCCATGCAGGCATAGGGATGGAGTATCCGAGGAATTCAGCACCTGTAATTTTTGGGCCAGGGTGTATTAACTCTGTGTGTATGTGTGTGTGTGTGTGTGTGTGTGTGTGTGTGTGTGTGTGTGTGTGTGTGACTATGTGTGTTGGTGCACACACATGCATGTTCACACTTTTACTGCATACAGAAAAGATGCTGGCATTTTGCTGCAGAAGTCTGGAGACAGTGGAAAGAGTATATGTGACAGCCCAGATGGAGGGATTGTTGGCAGCAACACAAAGCTGACTAACAATGTGAGTAGCTGAGAGTTTTAGAAAATACCTCACTATGGCCCACCTTCTCTCCCCACCTAAGCACTGAGCCCACTCCTGCACGGAGGGTGCACTCCAGCCACACCCTGGTCACTCCATCCCGTGGCGTTTTGTCCTTGCTCATCCAACTACAATGGCAAATGGGGGAGAAGTTTCATTCCATTGGAATTCCCTTTGAGAAACTGTGTTTGAAAACAACAACAAAACAATTGGAAGCCAGGTGCTGGTGGCCCATACCTATAATCCTAACTATCCTGGAGGCTGAGATCTGAGGCTGGAGGTTTGAAGCCAGCCCAGGCAGCAAGGTCTGTGAGACTCTTATCTCCAATTAAAACACCAAAAAGCCAGAGTGGAGTTGAAGCTCAAGTGATAGAGCACTAGGCTTGAGAACAAAAACTGAGGGCTAGAGCCCAGGCACTGCACTCAGGCTCCAGGACCGGTGCGCACATGTGTGTGCATGCATGCACACACACACACACACACACACACACGAGAAGAAAACAAAAGAACAATTAGAGAATCTTGGATTGATGCTCAGAGGAGATGAGCAAGGAACAAAAGAGGGCCTTCAGGCTGCCTGCCATTGGAGAGCTCCTGCTTTTGCTGTGCAATGGTGATGAATTTGGGGGTACAAGTTTGGGGAGTTGTTCCTGGTATTGCATGTCTCCCTGCCACAGAGGAAAGGCATTTGAAGCTCCCTTTGAGAAGAACTGTCAGAGGTAGGGGAGGAATGAACGCCGAATGGGGAAAGATGGCTGAGGGCGGGCTGGCTCCAGCCAGCTGTGCAGCAAGGGCGTGGCTTTGGAGAGCACCCATGTCCAGCAGGAGGAATGGTGTGCCCTCTCTGATGTCTCTACTACCTGATGGTCCCCAAGGCTGACAGTGCTTGCTCCTTCTTTCAGGGTGTCCAAGGTGGCTCAGGGAACAGAGACAGCACGTGCAGATAAATATCTGGAAAATGAGGGGATGTCATCTCAGTTACCTTGGACTAATGTTGTGAGGGTACGTGTGTCTTCGTGTGTATGTATGCCAGTGTGCCTGCGTGCACTTTCATATGTGCTCATGCCTGCATGCCTGCATGTGTGTGGAGGAGCTGTTCCTCTGAAACCTTGCCAGGGACTTAAAACTGCACCGATGGGGGAGAATGCTGGAAGGAGTGACACTGATCAAGATTCACTGCACGCATACACTGACGTGTTGAGATGAAACCACTTTGTGCAACTACTTAACGATAATGAAAAAAATAGAAGAAAAAAACTACGTCCAAACTGAGTACTGATGGTTCATGCCTATAATCCTAGCTACTCAGGAGGCTAAGATCAGAGGTCTGGACAGAAAAGTCCACAAGAGTCCACTCCAAACTAACCAAGAAAAAGCAGGTCAGAAGGTCTGGCTCAAATGGTAGAACACCAAGCTTGAGCAAGCAAAATGAGAAACAACATAAGTCTGGAATTCAGGTCATAGTACACACACACACACACACACACACACACACACATACATACACACCAATGGCTACTATGAACAAGCTCTGGTCTCCGCCCCAAGAAGGAGACAGATCTATCAACCTAAGGATTACATTCAAAGCTCCCTTCTGAAGGAAGCCCAGGTGAGTAGGTAGAGAGGAGTTTTCCTCTGCACATAGTAGGTTCTTTCTGGCTGCAGAGAGAGCTAAGTGAGCATCTGTACTTCCCCTAGGTTTCCATCTCTCACAGACTTAATCCACCTTTCTAGGAAATATCAAACATTTTCTGTACCCAGGCTTTTATCCATGAGAATTCCTATTTGCTTCAGTTGGCATTTTACCAAATAAGCAGAAATCTAAGAATGAACTCAGATCAGATCTAGAGTGAGCAAACTTTGCTGGGTCCTAGGAAAAGCTGGGAGAGCCCTGTAATGAATGGTTTAATAGGCATATGAGATTGCAAAGCATGCACCCATGTGGAGGCATGTCTCCTGGAGGATGGAGAGGTGTGGCTGGGATTCATACCCAGCAGGACTGACATTGGCCTGAACTTTTTGGCTTTATCCTGGCATTGTGCAGCCAGCATGGGGCAGAAATCGAGCAGAACACAACGCTCCTGCACAGACACAAGCTGCTGTAGCCAGGCCAGTGCAGTAGCTCATGTGACACTGTAAGTAAAGCACCAGCAGATTCAGGCAAATGCAACAGGGTAGCCGACCTGGGATGAGTACAGGAGTCCATTTTTTTTTTATTTAATTTTTATTGTTCGTGTGTGTTGGCACTGGAGCTTGAACTCAGGGCTGGACACAGCTCCTCTGCTGCTCCCTGGTCTCCATCTTAATTATTCTACCATGAAATCTAGGAGGAGGTTAAAATCAACAAATGGGAGATGATCTAAACTCATTCTTAACTCTTTGAGGCAGAAAAGGTAAGCTTTGCACAGGTCCACACTTTTTTTTGCCAGAATCGGTATGTTTGGAAGACTTGTTCAAAATAGATGTCCTACAAATGCTGGAGGGGATGTGGAGAAAGAGGAACCCTATTACACTGCTGGTGGGAATGTACACTTATACAACCACTTTGGAAAGCAGTCTGGAGGGTCCTCAGAAAACTAAAGATTGACCCAATCATACCACTTCTAGGCATCTACCCTGAACAACAGGAACCAATATACAAGGACACATGCACCTCCATGTTTATTGCAGCACTGTTCACAATAGCTAGGATATGGAAACAACCCAGATGCCCCACCACAAGATGAATGGATCCAAAAATTGTGGTATCTATACACAATGGAATATTATGCAGCCATTAGAAATGACAAAATAATGGCATTGCAGGGAAATGGATGGAGCTAGAAGAAATCATGTTGAACGAGGCAAGCCAAGAGCAAAGAGACAAACGGTACATGGTCTCCCTGATAAGTGGAGATTAAATCCAAAATGTTAGGTGATACGACAAAACTAACAGGACTTAAGAAACAAAGAACTTCCACTCATCTGGTCGAACCACTACTAAATAACCCCATACTGCTGATCACATGTATGGTGTATATGTCTACACTGTTATATGTTATAGACCGTGATAGACAATTTGCTCCAGGAAAGTTAGAATGAGCTTGTGACTTTAAATGAGCATCATTATTCCACAATACTGTGAAATTTGGGAAATTATGTAATCACTTAATCACAATAAAAAAAAAACCCACCAGAAAACTAGAAGTGGCGCTATGGCTCAAGTGGTAGAGCATGAGCCTTGAGCTGAATTGTTCAGGGATTGCTCCCAGGCCTAGAGCTCAAGCCCCACAACTGACAAAAAAAAAAGAAAGAAAGAAAGAAAGAGAGATCTTTCATGCAATTGTTTCTAACATATTTATAAGATTATATCTTTGTTGCCTTGTATGTCCCTTCCCCATGGTATAACCCATGCTTTCCCTATATATGGTATATGTGGAGGGGAAGGGAAAAAACAAATTGTTAAAACAGGGATACAGGAGGACCCATTGCAGCAATGAGATGTACAAGTCATTATGTCGAAAAATGAACTTTACAACTTTGGTGGGGGGTGTGGGGGGGGGATGGATACGAAGGGATGGAAAGGGGAAACAAAGGAGGAGGCTACAATGCTTGATTAGAAATGTACTCATTATCTTACTCATGTAATTGTAACCCCTCTGTACAGTATTTTCACAATAAAATATGTAAAAAATAGATGTCCTAAAATAAGCTCTGCTAGGGACAGCAGGACTACAAATTTGGATCCCATTACAAAAATTATGCATATTAAGGTGAGTTTTGGGTTGGTTGGTTTGTTTGGGTAAGTTGTTTTGTTTTACCCATTAGACTCTGACAATTAAAATACTTGCTTTGAAATCCATTTTTCTAGGTGTTTATAACACAAACCTGACAGCTAACCTAGCTTACTGAATTTGTGTTGCTGCTTGCAAATTGAAGCAACTTTGAATGTTTCACACTCTGGCTCAAAGCTTGGTCTTTTCTTTGATTATTTTGATGAATGCAAAAAAAAATGGCAGATTAATTTTAAGTATTAGCCGACTCTCTATGGCTTACGTGTGAAAAATTTTCCTGGGTGGTAGTTTGCCTCTAAATGTGTTCAGTGAACGCAAATTAGATTGTGAATGCATACCATTAACACATGTTCATATCCAACTACCATTGGGGCTAGAGAGGGAATTTCTTCTCTGTTGAGAATTTCCCAGCACATTACCAAATGTCTATTGACTCAATTCCTCTATGAAATTTGTGGTTCATGTAATTTTGGCCTTGGGCTTTCAGTTTAATTTTCAGCCTCTGGAAAGCTGCTTTTTCTCTTGTCTTATATTCACTTAGAATTATGCAGCATAATTTCCCATTGAGATGAATGAAGCAACGAGAAAAGACAGTAATGAATGCCACAGGTCTCTTTTAAGACTTGGAGAAAATTTTGCAAAGCAAAGTTGTCAAGTGTTTCTTTCATAGCATTTTATCATTTCTCCCAATTATATTTGTGACAGTTACTTAACAATATTTATTAATTTCTCTTAGCAATATTTTAGTCTTACCACTAATATAATAATATGTACTATTTTAATATACTCAAATGATTGTGTTTTGATAAAAAATAAGATAGATGATTGTCGCTAGATAATTAAACTCTTTTTATTTATTAGTTTAGTGTTTTGCTTTTTTTCATATTTGGGTCTATTTAGGTACACTTACGCCACTTTCACTTGCAGAAAGAATAAATAAATAGTTGATGTATTAGGTTTTTCCTAGCTGATAATTATAATCATCACTTTTTTTATTCTTGTCAAAATCTGCAATAAAAAGGTTACATTTTGAATGTATAGTGTTTAGTACCCTTGTATTGCCACTAGGTGGAGATGTTGGCTCTTTATTACTGGTTACATCAGCCTCCACTTAGTCTGTAAAGCTTCTTTCTGATTCAGAATGGCTCATTATCCTCCTGTGCTTGGCATAATTATAAAAGAACTCTCTAATCGTTCAGAGAGGCAGTGAAGTTGCTAATAAAAAGAAACTGATGAACGCCATCAGATACCTTGAGAACTTCTGAAGAATATTCAGCTGCCTTAGGCTCATCTCATACTAACAATGACTCCACTAGAGAAAGCACAATGATTAAAAAAAAATTCCACACAAGAAACACATTTCACTGAAGATAAAAGGGAGCAAAATGAAGTTTTGAATGGCTCCCAAACTGCTTATTAAAAAAAAAAAAGATGGCTGTGAAATGTCAATCAACCAAATCTCCCCCCCAACACCCCCCCTCTACCACACCACATACACTTCTGTTTTTCTTTTGGAATCCAGTTCAAAGATTCCATCATAGTGACACTGAATTCTGAATATTAACCCATGGAGGAGCTGTAGAGTCCCAGTCCCGTTCACACCCCCCTGCTAAAGTAGAAAAATCAGTCTCTAGTGGAATCTCCAGGGCAGTGACATTCCTTCTCCTGTGATGCTCTTTCACGGGGGTCCAAGTGGTGACAGCAGCAGGCAGAGGCCTGCTGGGGTGGTCAGAGCCTTTCTCCCCCTGGTGAAGGACAGGATGTGGTCCCCATGGCATCCACCAAGCCCTGTGAGCCCGTCTTGAGCACCTTCCTTGTGTCTCTTCACTCTTAGGGGCTTCTATTCTTCCTGCAAGCTTGATATTTCCAGCCTATTTTCTTTTTTTGCGGGGGGGAGGTCTAGTTGTGGGCTTGAACTCTGGGCCTGGGCGCTGTCCCTCAGCTCTTCAGCTCAAGGCTAGCGCTCTACCACTTGAGCTACAGCGCCACTTCCAGCTTTTTTCTTTTTGCTTATGTGGTGCTGAAGAATCGAACCCAGGGCCTCAGGTATGCAAGGCAAGCACTCTACCACTGAGCCACCTTCCCAGCCCTCCAGCCTCTTTTCTTCCACCTCCACATACAGGTAAAGAGGACACTTAGAAAGCATTAAACCAATGGGTGTCGTCTTTCTTTATTTCTAGAAGCCAGGTCTCATGGCAGCCATGTTGTCATTAGGTAGATCATCTGGGAAGGAAAGAAAAGAACACTTGGAGCTGCTACTCACCCATGAAATGAAAGGGTGAGCCTTGTCAACAGCAGAGATGTGCCTGGCTTAGGCTGAACTCCCCAAGTTTCTATGCTACAGAGCTAACTTCTCAGTACCTCAGAATGTAACTGTTCTGAGAGACAGAGCTCTCTGGAGTGGGCTCTGATCCAATATGATTAGTGTTTCTATAAGAAGAAGGCATCTTGATACCAAGACACACATAGAAGGAGGATGCCGTGACGGCACAAGAAGAAGCCATGGAGAGAGGCCTTGGAAGGAAGCAACCTTGCTGATACCCTGATCTCTGCAGCCTCCAGAAATCAATTTCTGTTGTTGAACCCAAGCAAGCTGTGATACTTTGTCATGACAGCAAATAAAACAGACCTGACTTTCCTCTCCTGGAGGAAATTGGATCAATTAAAGGGACAACGAGAGCAAAGGCATTTGGTTCCCTAGGATTCTGGGAAGAAAACCTCAGAGTTCTTGACCTCAGTGGGGCGAACCATGTTTGCTTTAGTAGTATAGTGTGGCTCCTTCGCACCACACCTCCCTCAGCATCCATGAAGCCTGAAGACTGATCCGAGCATTGATGGAGGTCACTGGGGAAATGCAGAACCTCACTCACACATCAGAGACCCCCTGAGAAGAGCAAGAGATGCTGTGAGAAACCTATCTCGACCCTGTAGGGTCAAGATAGTGCCATGCCCTCCCCACACAGTTGGGGGCAAGTGGACAACTGACAGGTGGAATGTTCCTTGTAGAGATAAGGGGGTACAGCTAGCAGGGGAGGCCACCAGGCCAGCTGAACTGAGATGGTGGGACAGCAGCAGCACATGGCAGCAAAGTGAGCAGTCTCCACAGGACAGTCGCCATGGCTGCGATCCATCTTGGACCTGCAGTGCAGAAGAGAGACCCTGGATGCAGAACTGAGGACTCCTGAGTTTCACTGCTTCTGGCCCAGATGCTATCTTGGAATTGAAAAGGACTGTGTCTATGAGATGCTGAAGAAGGAAGTGTTCTGCAGGAGACTGAAAAGCAACAGAGAGAATGTTCTTGCCCTTGGGAATTGTACCTTTCCCTTCTCCAGGGGGAGGAGGGAGATAAAGTTGATAACACTCTCAGTGAACAGCAGCTGGGCAGCAAAGGTCACCGGAGTCACAGGTGGATGGAGACCATTTCTCCCGCTTTACATGCAGAAGTCCCCCTCATTGGAGCAGGACAGATTGCCTATCTAAACAAATGTCCCCATTGTCCCTCTTTCTTTTCCCTATCAATGCTAGCAAGGGCTGATTCCCCACTGACATCACTGAAGCTACCCACTGATAAGCATACAAAGCTGTGTTGACTCTTCTTAGGGCTGAGGAGGAGGAGGGGAAGGCTGACAGTGGCATTGAGCCTATGGAATCCAGTTCAGGGTGGTCTTTCAATCAATTAGCCATTGATTATGGTTGTGGATAGTGATGTATTAGCTTAGAAGTATTGGACGGAGCCATCAATGATTTGAGGCCAGGAATGAAAGAGTCTTGAGGTGGGTATTTCGATGCTTTCTATTGGAAAGCTGGTGGGTCCTTTAGGAAGATTCTGGAGCTAAGTAACCAATGTTACTCAATTTCCAAAAAGGATATTGTCCTGAAAAGCTCATCACCAATTACAAAGTCAAAAATGGAATCATACAGCCTGGTGCCAGTGGCTCTTGCCTATAATCCTAGATGAGGATGTTGAGATGGGAGAATCACGGTTCAAAACCAGCCCTGGGAAAAAGTTCCTGGGACTCTTATCTCCTATCAACCACCAAAAAGTGAGAAGTGGAGCTGTGAGTCAAGTGGTAGAATGCTGGCCTTGAGCAAAAAAAGAGCAACTATATAATTCCAGGCCCTGAGTTAAAGCCCCCATATGGTCACACACACAAACGCATGCACGCACACACACACACACACACAGGAAAAAAAATGGCAGATTAATTTTAAATGTTCACTGACTCTCTGGCTTACATGTGAAAATTTTTCCTGGGTGGTAGTTCGCTGTCACACCTAACCAACCAGTCATCCTAGCTTAGGAGCACTCACAGTGATAAGGATGAAAGCCATTTTAATGTAGAGGGTGAGCTGTGTACTACAGATTGTTAATCCAGGATGAGGAAAGCTGCTCAGACCTAGTCATGGCAGTTTCTGAGTGGCCATGCACACTGGCGTTTGTCAGTGTTCCCAGGATTGGCTCTCTCCGGTGTCTGGGGCCCAGGGCTAGTCACCTCACCTCAGTTCCAGGAAGAAAGTAACTTCTCTCAATTCTTGTTATCAGAATCTATTCACAGGCCTTCAAAGAAATTAGCATTTATGGAGAAATCAGATAGGCACAGAAAAGAGCCAGATAAAAAGCTAAAGGGACCAGAACTGGGGAGGCGGTAATCTCAAGGACAAAGGGTCACACCCATGTTGGGTTTTGTAGACAAAGCACTGGGGTGCTGGGACTGGCCAGTGACTAGGCTTCCAGGCAGGTGCTGAGAGCCACGGCTGGGGATGGGATGGGGTAGGCTGTCTTTCCTGGCAAGGTGACTCACAACTGTACTCCCAGCTACGCAGGAGGTGGGGGGAGGGGGGATAATGGTTCAAGGCTAAAACAGAACGTTAGTGTGCCCTCATCTCAGTCAAGAAGCTGGACGTGGTGAAGTGTGTTTGTCATCCCAATCATGCAAGAAACATACATGGAAGGAATAGGAATGAGCCACACACAAAGGTTT